TACTAGTGCAAATCTATCTCAGCGCCGCGCCGTTCAGTACAGCGTTGCCAGAACGTCCCAAAAGGGACGATTTTCGTCCCTTTTGTCATCAAAGCGTCCCTTCGATATCCTTTTACATATTCCGTCCCTTTTTCCGTCCGTTTTCAATAACGCTCCACTGCAACATTAGACGAATGCATTTGGTTTCAATCATTGATTTATTTCACTAAATTGCAATCACAATACATTGCACATTGTCAACTTTGTTCGTCAAATCACCAAGTAAACTACATCGAATCCAACGCTCGCTATGCCTACGTTTAATATATACCTACCCAATGCTCAAACCCACCTACCATTATCTTACTTAGTAAAAACTTTTGTTTTTGAGGTATGTTTCAATTATGAATATAATAATAACTTAGGAATAAGTGCTTACTTTGTAAAATCTGTGATACGTTCGTACCACCATGCTGTACCTACATCATAGTGGATAGTCCTCCGTACCATCTTCTTTATTTTATTGTGTGGATAGTATAAAAAAGTAGTTAGGTACTATAAAAGCTTATTACAAAGTGTCTGATAATATTACAGACAAAAATGATTGGGTATGAACTGTTCCAATCATTCCAACAGGTTTTCTATATTAAATAAATGTATTGACGTTGTAACAACATAATGATTTGTAAATGTTGTTACATTATACTTTTAATGTTGTGGAGTTTTTTTCGCTCGCTCGTTTTTCTCCGCAGCTAAAAAATATGTCCAATAACGAGTGGCAGGGAAAAAAAAATTGGACGATTCAAAAGAGTTCTACTATACATCCAATTTGAATAAAGATATATTGATTTCAGAAATCAGACAGCTGTCGAGACATCGCGACACACAAATATAGTTCTAACCGTACCAAATGTATGAAGCAGATTGCGTCACAACACAACACGTAAGATAAATATATTTCTGCAGGCCCGTCCTTTTTGTCTAAAAATCGTCCCTTTTCAGATTCCGAATCGTCCGAAACACGACGCAGGTACTGGCAACACTGGTTCAGTACGGCGCCAGCGCCTTTCGAGGCAACATCTGTGTCGGTTTGTACCGCACGCGTCCTGAGCGATGCTACGAGTGCATTCATCGTAAAACTGGCTGGATATACTACGACCGCAAAAGTTTGATCGTTAACTGTATATAAGTTTTCGTGACCGTATTATTTTTTATTATTATAAGTACCTACCTAGTATTAATTATCGTTGCTTCAACTAATATTTTTGTTATTAGCTTTTACATTGGGGTGTAAAACTCCTGCTTACCATTGTGGCAAAAATGAATGAAAGAATGATGCAGCCATAAGGGAAACTTGTGAAGCAAGGTGAATGAATATGCTTATAACATATGGCTTTTTATTTTTGTGGTTTTCATGGGTTTTGATTGTATGTAAATGGTGATATGTCCGGAATTTTAAAGTATCAACGGTATAAAATTGTAGACCGTCAAAGTCTACTATACTCCTAAATATGTAGGTACTTAAAAGTGGCCAAAGATTTTACGGGCTTGGGGTAGGGGGGCTTTCAGCCAAAACCCATCCCTAGCAAAGCAAACGCATACTTTCAGGGATATTGAAGTTTCAAATTTGAGGTTAGGTATCGGCAAAAAATTAAACTAAGTACCAGTTTTTATCCAATAAGGAACTTCTAGAAAACGAAAACGAGCTTTACCACTTCGCTCGCTCGGCTTACTCTGTATAGCCCAAGCAATAGAGGATAGATAGGATAGAGTTGTGACCACCCTACATTCCCCGATTTAAACTTAAGCTTCTTACAATCTACGTAATACCTGTAAAAAAGCTAGAGTACGGTAAAATTAATTTTGCATTACAATCAAGTATAACAAGTATAAGTTATAATACAACATAATAATATATTTAGAATAGAAATTCACAGCTCTATTTATTTGAGATGGAAAAAAATTCTAATGCCTATCCCACCAGTGAATAAATATAGAAAATAGTGAAACTACTATACCGACCATAAGTTCAATGAATTCCAGTGTAACGGGAACTGTAAGTTTTTTTATGTTGTTTATAGAAGTAGACAATGAAAAGGGAAATTGAAATTAAATATTTAATTATATAGGGGAAAAAATGCTGTTGGATTGGAAATCTAAGCCGAGGAACAAAGGGAAGCGTCAAACTCAAATGTAAATATTTTATCTGTTTTATACTGACTTAATGCGTATTTCACTACTACAGTAGGTACATAGTTCACAATGTTAGCAGTTTGGGTTTTTTAAACTTAAAAAAATAGGATGTATTTCTGGAGCAAGAAAGTATATTTTTAATACTTTAGATTTAGAATTCTTTGCTCCATAAATTCAATTGACAGTAACTTGCAGATTAACGTACCATGCCTGTGTCTGAATTTGGAAATGTATTTTCAGTATTGCCTAAATCTGTTTATTTGTGTAGACAGTCAATAAAAAGTCATCAATTATTGTAGTCAATCAGATAATCTGTTTTCAGGAGGAGTACATGGTTGATGGAAGACGTATAATTGATTTCGAATATTTTTGGAATCAGTTGATATCCATAAGTAAACAGTGAAAATGTTGACTGCTGACATTTTGCACTTGGAATTACCAAACTGGGTGTTGGATCATTTTCAAATGTCAACACATCAATATTACCTCAGCTGAAATTAGACTTTATAGAATTGACGACGAGCGAGGAAATTTCAGATGTTGTTATTATAAATATGTTGTTCATTATCGTCATGCTTTTATTAAAATTTAATGTAATGTGGCCCTTTGTCACCGTACTAATCTACAAAGAATTATATAGTATTATAGCTAAGAATAATATATATTACTAGCTGGCCCAGCGAACTTCGTACCACCATAAAAAAATAGGGGTTGATTGTAAAGGGTTGAAAATTCAGGGTTATATGTATTTACTAATAATCATAAAAAAATTTAAAAAAAATATCTAAAATTGAAAGAAAAAAAAAATTTATGGGTGGATTACCCTTGATATTTAGGGGGATGAAAAATAGATGTTGTCCGATTCTCAGACCTACCCAATATGCACACAAAATTTCATGAGAATCGGGAAAGCCGTTTCGGAGGAGTTTAACCACAAACACCGCGACACGAGAATTTTATATATTAGATAAGCTTGATTGTAATCTACTTAAAACAAAACATCAATCAGTAGTTTCAAAAAAGAGACAATCATTGTACGTTATACATTTTACTATGATGATAGCATCAGTGATGATAATCTTTGGTAACAGTAATGAGTGTTAATTGTATGGAGAATAATAGATCTTATTGTATGTGCTTTACAGCAGCTAGTGATCGAGAAGGTGTGAACTTTCCCAGCTCCGTTTTAATATTATTTACCCTGACATTTCCATACGCGAACTCGCAATAAAAAATTCGTAAGTTAGGTGTGTAAGAGATGAGTACCTATGAAAGTTAAATACTTTTGATGGGTTTTGTATAAATGCATGGGAATTACACGAATACAAAAAAAAACATGTTTTAAATTTTTTATCAAAAACTTACAGAAATATTCCAAGTAAAGAGTGAGAAAACTTTTTTATTTAGATATATTATTATAACCAAACATCATTCATCATTAAAAAAGTTAATACTTAAAAGCACAAGTAAATAAAATATTATTTCTCATTACCACTCGAAAAAGGGATTTTTTTTCACCGATAACAGAGAAAAAAAAATTAATTTAATTACTGAGTGAATAAAAATCATGAAAGTTGAACAAACAGAAGTTATGCAAATCATACACATAGTTACAATACGTAGTAACAATCATAATTAATCTTTAATGTCCTTCAAAACACAATAAATGGGTACGATAAATATCTTATTTATTTTCTCACAATAGTAAAAAAACTTTATTTTTGTATCCTTTGTTCCACTCAGGATTCCTATCTAGAATCCTTCGTTGCTACAGTAGGGTACCATTTTAGCACCTCAAATAAAATTTCTTTTATATTTTCACTAATAGTATAATCCACTAATTGCATATTAAAGTTTCAATATAGTAAAGCGCTCTATACTGAACATCGCTGCGTCGATGTCTCGCTCGTGCGAATCTCACAGACTCGTGGCCGTATTTACTTAAACTGCAGCGGCTAAATTTTGTAAAAGGGCTCTTGTGGTTGCGTGTTTTCTACAGGTTACATTTCAGTGAGCGCTCAAGAATTATTCGAATTCATTCTGCCTGCACCTTTTTATGATCAGACAACGACGCGTGGACAGGGTTTTCATCCGTGCGTGGTTAACATACTTCCCCTGCTTACCTCACGATTCGCTTCCTCGATTATCATGCTGTATCTGTATTTCCCAATAAATTTAATATAGGGACCTTCAAGGCAAGTGTAAATAAGCATTATTTGAGTTTGCGTGTTGCAGCTTAGAGACTACATCGTAGCTTAACGTCAGGTGCGATTGTGGTCAAACGCACTTAAATATTTTATTACAAAAAACTTTATTTATGAAGAGAAGTAATCATTGTCAAAAAATGATTTGTACCGTGGGTGGATATAAAATAAACCCAGTTGTAGGTACCGAATGCACCATTGACTTGCACCATAAGGTACTTATGTCATCTGTGACTTTGAGCAGCGTCGGCCAACTACAATCATAGGGTACGGGTGCGGCCAGAGTGCAGTCAGATTCAGATTCTGAAAACAAGCGCGAGAAATAAACAGTGTAGTCGAAGGGTACGGCCAGAGTGCACTCCTGATTCAGATTCAGACTCAGAAAACAAAGCGCGAGAAAAAGCAGGCAACCTGCTTAGACTACACTGTTTATTTCTCACGCTTGTTTTCAGAATCTGAATCTGAGTGCACTCTGGCCGCACCCTACGGCCAGAGTGCACTTAGATTCAGATTATATTATTCTAAGCAGGTTGCCTGCTTTTTCTCGCGCTTTGTTTTCGTCTGAATCTGAATCTGAATCAGGAGTGCACTCTGGCCGTACCCTTCGACTACACTGTTTATTTCTCGCGCTTGTTTTCGGAATCTGAATCTGAGTGCACTCTGGCCGCACCCATAGACAGAACAGAAATTTGTTCTTTGGGTTCATAAGAGCATCAGAACTTCAGAACTTTAAAATGTGCTTGAAACAAATTAATAAACTACCGAATTTCTTGTACTTTTTCCTATGGGTTTAGGTACCCTATCGTTGGGTACGACCATGGGGTATGACAGTTTCAATTACTTTTTTAAAATAGAACGATATCCAACAAAATACGTTATATCCTTCCTAATGAATTAATAAGTGGATAGGAAATAAAAAAAAGTTAGAAATTAATGTTTTTTATAACAATTTCTATATTTCTTCTATCACATAGAACAGTCGATCATTATCTTAAGATTAATACTTAAAATTAAAGTCCATCATGCATGCGTTAGACACCATTAGTTAAATGCACTTGACCAAACTTGACTTGCTAAATGCGCTAGCATCACTATATAGTTTGTGCACTTGACACTGTAAAATCAATGCTTTGCTTTTAGTCATAAAGTTAATAAACTTCAGTATATAAGGTTATGCATAGAGTAAGTATGAATGAAGGAGAACGATTGGCGACTATAACACATCACCCACCTCAGATTGAGGAGGTAATATTGAATATTTATGGTAATTACACTTTTTTTGATTTTAAGATATGTCACTTTAAAACTTTTTATTTCCTTAATTTATTAAATAGTTAAGTAAATAATTACTAGACACATTTTAATTAAACTAATCTTTAGATCTAATAGCAGATCCGATCCACGCACGCATCTGATGGATTCGTGCAATTTGCTTATCGGTTCCCAAACTTTGGTAAGTATTTCATCAGTGTTCGTTTTTATTAGAGAGGACATTGGGTGGAATTATGTCCTTCTTTCCGAAGTGATTCTGGTAGAGGCTGTACGCTATGCCGAGTGTTAGAGCTCCGACGGCGGCTCCCTGCGCTATCACACGGAACTGCATTAGGTATACGCTGGTGCTCATCCGACCACGGTTCTTGTATGCGTAGGCTCCGTAGCCGACAGCCGCCGCAAGACCGCTTAACCCTGTAAGAATGAGATACATATTTCACATTAATACAAAGTTATGCTATAGGTAAGTACCTACTCCTTTCAGGGTAAGGACAGCAAACCTATAAGAAGAAGTTAGTTAATTACTTGGTGGATCACCGAACTCAATTCTGTGTTTTGTGAGGTAGGTAAAACAAAGTTCATGTTACCACAAACTCAAAAGCTTTTGAATCTTAAAAAGTGTAAGTAGGTACCATAAACCTCAGTCAGTTGGTGAATTTTTTCAGTTTTGGGTAACTGTGGTTTTCTGTTTCTTATTTGGATAGGTTTACTCTTATTTTTATAGCTACACCTTAATAATGTATCTATTTGATTTAATGGCAAATAAAGAATTTGATTTTGGCTTTAACCACATTTTATTCTTTGCCTATTTGCGACATCTGGCATTGATTGTCGTCTCTGAAATGTTGTTCGAAATGTTCGGTAAAAATAGGGAACAAAGTTGCCAAACTATCGCCTACATTAGTTTCCGAAACTGTACTGTTCTGTTCATTGATATACTTTTACTGCCTGTACGAGAAAATAAGTTTCTAGCGCATTATGTTTTATGTTCACTCCTAAGCTAGCATAACTTGCTATGTAAGTTTTTAATCGCAGATTTTGTTTAAAGTCAATGTCGATAAATCGCATTATCATATCGCGTTTTGATGGCCATGCTACGGGGGCTAAAGTGCTCTCATGCTGGTAGTAAGGTTTTTATACTTTAAAAAAGGGAAGCAAACTCCACCAAGAAGAAGTGAAATAACACTACCTTTTGGTGGTATTCTGTTTCTGTCAGTGAGCAAGGCGGCTCCACTGAGCAACGGAAGGAATGAGGGTGGGTAAAGGCGCAGTGCTACTTTGGTGTCGCAAGCTTCTTTAAGTTGCTACTCGCATTACCTTACGTTAAAAAATACTTCTCCATGAGATAGTGGTTATAGTTTAGCAAGGTTTTAATGCGGTTCTTTACACTATAGCATCAGCTGTCTTCATTGACACTCACACTTAACGGGATCTATACCACACTCACACTATACTGCACCCCACTGGCGCCCAGTTTCAATAGTCGAACTCCGGTAAGAGAAAGGCCCATGTGCCTGTCCACTCACGTCGTGATGTCGTCACCGTGGAACGGTGCGTACAACATGCAAATCCGGTCGTAAACAGGTGGGATGGAATCCCATTTTTGTAAATCAATGTTCCCTTTACGTTAGGTAGCAGGTATTTCCCATGGATTAAATTGTACTTATCTTATCGATAACTGTATGTCAATATGATAACGAAACCAATTTGAGAATTACCTATCCTGTTGGTGTACTTATTAGTTTTTATATGATAAGTAGATTATTATCCTACTAATATATTATTATTAAATGAGAATTAATAGAACCATCTTTCAAAAGTGGTAGTCGGTTTCCGGCAGCGACGAAACATTCTTATTTGAAAGCTTGTTTTATTTTATAACAGTGACAGATATTTTTTTATTTATTTATCCCCGATTAATTTTAAATTGTATATAAAAAAATATTAATTTTGTGAGGATGATGGCCACCTTGTCATATTTTTAGTGTTATAACGGCAGCTTATAACGTTTACTCAATCCTTAGAGCATGCTCTAAGACTCAAATTCTTTAGCAAATGTCAACAAGTCCAGTCATGCATGATATTAGTGAAATCATGGTGAAATTATTTTACAAAGTTATGATTGATTCTTCTTAAAATAAAATACCCACAAAATACCTAAAAATACAATAAAAGGTGAACAGAATAATTTATCACTGCTTTAGTTACCTTTTGAATAGAATATATTTGATGCTTTTGCAACAAAAAATAGATAAATAAACTTCCCATATGCCAATCAATAATTATATAATTTTATATTATAAATAATACCTAATAATATATTTTTTAAACGGTGATAAAATAAATTCTAGTCTTTTGTCAAACGATTTACAATTAAGTGTCCTACGTGTCATAAAAATTTGAAGTCTGCCGAAGACTGACTACCACCCTCCATACAAATTGGAACCGTCTCCTTTTATGTTTGTTTTCAATCACGCAAAAACTACTGAACATCTTTAGATGAAATATGGTACCTACGCATATAGTTTACGACCTGGATCGAGACAAGATACTTTTTATTCAGGAAAAATGATTGGATTATGTGAGACTTTAAAAAATCTAAAGTTAAAGCGGACGAAGCCTCGGGCGGCCGTTAGTTTACAATAAAAAGTTAAGTGGCATCCAAAATAGTTTCTAAGTACACACAACAATAGTCGAATCAATTACGAAAACTGCCACCATTCAATTATTTTTCACATTACCAACGCGCACACGCCTTGTCATCCTGACATAAACGTGATATTACATTGTAATCATTGTGACTACCATATACCATGCTAGGAGAGAACGTTATCTACGTCCTCGATATATCTATAGGAATTACAACGATCCTTCGTAATGCCACACAAATTATACTTATACTCACCGATTATCATAAAAGGAGATTCCTCAGCCTTGCGTGTTAATTTCTCAGCCTGAGTTTCTTCATGGTAATCGAAATTCGGCTTATTTTCCATTTTCTGTAACATCACCAATACACGGATATGAGAAAAATATTTCTTATCCTACTTCATACGTATGTTTGATACACTATGCCTTAAACTTCAAATTTGTGTAGATCTCGTGATGTTTTAACAGAACAAACTCCTAACCTATTAGCTATTTTTGGACAATCAAGGTCATGAACGAGAAGTGTTACATATAATTTCCTCATGAAACATTATGACGCCTTGGAATGACGCAATTTGGTCAAAGGTTCAAGTTCAATACTTTAGTTTTATCGAAAATCCAACCCATTTTAAGATTTTCCCCCATTTCACTGGAATGAAATTTCCGTCAGTTGGATTTACATTTATTAAACAGGTGACCAAAGAAATTCACAGCTAGACGGTCACTATCAAACCGTTTGATAAGATAACCGCAACTTGTTCGTGTTTGTTCAAGTACCTATACTCACTTTTTATATGAGAATCGCTTTATTTAGGTTTAGCTTCCGATTTCCGACACTGTTCACCGACACCGACACAACAGAGTCTCAGGGCCTTCAAGGAACAACTGATGAATGGCGCTCCGCTATCGAAAGATATTATAGCAGGTTTGCGTCATCAAACGACGCGCACCTTACATCGTGAGCGTGTGCACTTGAGGAAAATTTTAATTTTTTCTCGTGACGGCGCGGCGGATGCCAACTGTCTATTTAATCATTATCCCTAATTACGTCATGATTTTTTTTTGTCTTTTTTCTATCCTGCGGCGCTGGTAGAAAACTCCAGAGACTAAATGTATTGTGATGAATTTTAGTGAACACAGAGCTCATAAGAGCCAGATATTTTATTATTATTGAGAAGCACTCCAGCATAAATCTGATAGGTATGTCACACGCCACACGGACAGCCACCTTAAAACCACACCAGTCACACCATTAAAATAAATTAAATACTTATATTTTTAGTGCCATTTCATAGGCACCAACTGCATAAAATACACAAAACTCGGTAATTAAATTACTTTTTAAAATTTACTTAAATTACAAATTGGAAGCAAATGCAATAAATTAAAAACTTGTTTATTACGAAACATAAATTATATTATTTGAGTAATAAAAATTAAACATCACTTGCAACTCAAATAGTTTTTGTAATCGCATGCACAATCCACATGACAACATTGTAATGTAAAAAACGTATTTACATAAAAATAATTTACACATGTACCATAAGTATACAGTTTGTTTAAACAGAACAGGTAATTTATTTAAGGAAAAATTGACAAAAGAAAAATTGAATCCCGTCTGCTGATTGGACCGCGTGCAATTTTTTCTTGGGATTATAAATCTAGCAGAATGCTTAAAATAAATATAATAAAGGTGATTTATATACTTGATTGGTCTTATTCTAGCAGATCTGACAACTGAACCTTCATGCTTTTTAAAGAAAGCATTAAAAGGAGAACTGCAGTGCAATTTAGTTGATAGAGTCATGTTATGCCCGCAAATAGCCTAAAGAACAGCCATATGAAGTGCTGTTATTAGAATTATTAGTAACTCCGAAGTACCTTTTTATTAAACAAAATGGAGAAGTGGTCGAATCTATCTATGACCAGGGGGCCATTCGCCTAACGAAAATGCTTTAGAAAACGCAAACGCTTTCGATTTTATTTTGTTATTTCTGACTGCCGAAGGTTTTCAAATACCTCACGCTCATTTTTTTTAATATTGTTATTGCCAATGCAAAAGAAAAAAAAAGAGCGCGAGGCATTTGAAAACCTCAGGCGGCTAGAAATAATAAAAAGAAATCGTAAGCGTTAGCGTTTTCCAAAGCATTTCCGTTAGGCGATTGGCCCCCAGGGTAGCCTGGTCATACATAGATTGGTGTAGACCAATCTTGTTTTAATTATTATAATTTTAACGGTTTCGACATGTATAATGTTCAAAATCCGTTCGATCGTCGAACTAGTCAGATTTTTTTGTTCTCATTCGTTCGACCGTCTACTTACTACGGTCTTATTTTCTTTTATTTATCGATTCATTACCAGAATCTCTTAGTTATGTATGGTCCCCTGGTACTTTTTTGAAAATATTGATTTTATAAATGTTTATGGATTTTATACAAGACTGACTTGACGATATCCCCTTGGATATACACCCGTAGTACACAGAGATAATTAAAACTTTTATTTCTCGATTAAAATAATTTCTAGAACTAATAGAAATGAGAACAATTGAGTCTCAGTAGTTTGACGGTAGAACAAATAACAAAAAAAAACTCACTAGTTCGACGATGGAACTAATGACAATAAATTATCAAAATCGTTTGAAAGGAAAATTACACTGCTGGAACCCTATGTGATAAAACGGCTTTATTGCAAATATGATATGACAGTTTTTTACAAACCTATCTTATCAATTTCCCATTATGTTTACTCGAATTCCTTACGACTTCAAATGTTAAGCTGAAATATTTCTACAGGAAAATCATTAAAGAAACTGATAGAAACCACACTTTAAAGATAAAGCAATAAATGATTTATATTATTTGTTTATTTTATCTTTTTTGTTTGACGAGTTTACATTGATGTAGGTCTTATATGTCCAATAGATATAATATGCTAGGTTAAAGCATTCTAAAAATGTTTGACAATTTTTTGAAAAAATTAGCAATATAATATAATAGGCATAAAAATTATGCCGTTATATTACAATTACAGATCTAGGTCTGTACTCATAATAATCTTAAATTAACCAAATGAAAACTACATTACAATTGAAATATTTATACTTAAATCTTATTATAAAAAGTTTTAGTTTATATTGCTTTATTTTGTTATGTAGCGGAATTTTCTTATTTCTCAATACTCTTATTTCAGCCGAAGACTTACTGAAGGATTTACCACTTTAAGGTCAAAATCGCCAGAGCTCGATGTTAAACATCGACGCAATATCCTTTTGTGTATGAGCATGAACTCAAGCAAATTATTTCCTTAAAGTGAAAGAGCCCTAAATCTTGAACTTTATTTAACATTAAATAAAACTAGTTTTTACGGGTTAATGCACGAAAACTTTATTTATTTATTGACGTTTCGTAGCCTTTACAGGCTACGTCATCAGAATAAAACTTTTATTTAATTTGTCGAGCTACCTTCGAAAAACTTTTATTGAGCGTTTGGTTATTTCATTGTTCGATTTTTAAGTTTTATTGTCTATGTATGAATTTATTATTTAATTTACTTAATAAAGTATTTTATTTAAAATTCTTGTTTGTAATTTTGAGTTTATTTATTTGACCCTAACTACCGTAAACTACCACCGGTTACAAAATTGGGAGACCTTCCTGAGAAGAACCGGCGAAACAAACTCAAGAGAGGCTTTCTATCTCCTTCTTATGTTAAATTATGCAAACAAAAAGAACTAATAGTATCTGATGGTCTTGCAGTGTGTGCTCGGGGTTGGGATTTTATCTCCTGTATAATAGGTTCCCAAGCTGGTGGTATATACCAACCATCTTCCCTATTGAAATTTGGATATTTTTTAATCTCAATAGCTTCGCGCATCATTCGAGGAACGAACCGCCGCTCAGCTGCAAACGTCAATAAATAAATAAAGTTTTCGTGCATTAACCCGTAAAAACTAGTTTTATTTAATGAGTGATGTACGTGAAAACCTAAGAAACATTTATTTAACATGTTAAAAGCTAAAATATTAAAATTAAAGCCTGTACAAATTGTCATTAGGTATCCAAAGTAGCAAAAATCAAGTAGCCCATGACCTCATCACAGTTACTATAAAGGCGTATACTTATTAATAGCCAGACACAACATCTGTCGCTTAACTGAAAGTAGTTTTTCAATATTAAAATAAGTGAAATTATTACATGGCAGAAATTGAGATTTCTGAAAGATTGAATTCTAGAAACTAAATCTACAAGTGTAGAATATAATTTGTTTAAGCTGTTAGAGTTCAAATTGTCTGCCTCTAATTACAGATTGCAGTCAAGTGCACGACACTCGGCAGTTGTAAATATACAAACAATTTTGTACCGTAAGCAAGCGTTGTAAAAGGGTTGAAGATTATAAAATATGCTGCTCTGTACTAGAATTAATGGCGAATTTTCACGGTCGATTTACTTGTCTACTTTGACTGCACACGAGCCACATGCCAAATCAATTCGGATTTGGATTAAGTCACTTGCGGCTTACGTCAAATAAATTTAATGACATTTACAGTCACGTGTTACTCTATTGTTAGACACCAATAACATCAATTAAACTTATAAGTGTATTGTGTACGGTCGTACAGTTATGCCGGCACTTGGCTATTCGTGTTTGCTATTTGTAAAACTTGACATCAGTCTGTCCTTTTAATTCCTTATAAAGCATGATAATGACAGACTGTTATCAAGTTTACAAATAGCTAACACGAATAGCCAAGCCAGCCAACGAAAGAACGTGATCCTGACAGGTCGTGCCAGTTCCATAACAGCCACAGAACACAAAAAAAAACTTTTGATCTAATAAAAAAGAGGTAAATAAATTCTAATTCTGTTGCCATAAGGAATTGACACGAACTGTCAAGATCGCATTGTCTCGTTGGCCGCACTTTATACAATCGACCCCCGTGTAAATGCGCCATTGCAGGAACACCTCTGGTGACAATTTCTTTATAACAAAAAGCTGCGTAGTTTTTTTACTACAATAACCAAGTTTATATACCTACTTATATAGCTTATAAATTATTTGTATTCGGAACACAGATTCGTGAAAGTAACATGATGTAGGTACTATTTACATTCGGAATGTTGTTACAGATATCGTTTTAGAGAGTAACCACATATACGTTCTGTTATGCCGAAACTTTACATAGCTATTCGTATTAGCTATTTGTCAACTTGACAACGGGGGACTTCTCCATGGCCATTTCATATAGCAACAACGTGAACTGTAACTTAGTAAAAACCCGACAATACTTCTGCACCGGTCACCCGACACGCCTTATGAGGTCTCCCTAATGCACGTCGGGAGTGCGGCACCTGACCCCCCCCCCCCCCCCCCCCCCCCCTAAACCCATTTAGCGATTTCAATTTCAAGCAAAAATGTGGTCGTGGTCTCTAAAAAGTTTTACTTTAATGTATTAAATAACGCACGTAGATGTAGTTACTCCTAAATCTGAATCTCTCCTAACGCAAGTTATAATAATATGCTGTGAAGAATCCATATTCCGATTGTTGATCTATGTGACAAACGCAAATTGCTATCGATTTCAAGGTATCATAGATGCTCTGCGCCCCTAGAACGAACGAACCAATATCGAGTTCGAATAGTCTGCGAGTGCGAAATGTCAATGTCAAATTTTGAATGGAAATCCGAACAGCAGCGTCACAACGGACGTATCCAGAACTAAAAATCAGTACATATTTGACAATGACATTTCGCACTCGCAAAATATTCGAATTCGATATTGGTTCGTGCTAAGGGTACTGTTTGCTAGATAAAAAGATTCGAAAATAAAATGTATAAGCCACACATCCAATGAGGGTTTTCTGAAATGACGGGCGCCAGGTGGCAGCACTGAGACGAAAGGTCTACTCATCCGTTGAATCACATATGTCGTCATAGTCCACTGCATGGAGGTTAGAGAGAAGGAGAAAATCGCTGTCGAAAATAGTGTCCAAGAAATATGAACAAAATAAGTGAGGCGCTGCAATCGCTAAGTTGTCTCAATAAAAGCTAATTTGAAATGACCAATGCCGCAAAGAAAATTTGTACATTATTCAACTAACTTCACCTACTTACCGACGGCAGCACGGCTGGTTGAAAAATGAACTATAAATTCTACACAATTCTACACATTTTCAGGGACAGGTGGGCTAATGCTTTAGCACGTACCGATCGTTCTCCCTCTCTCTAACCTCCATGGTCCATGGATCAATTTAAATGTTCGTTCGATTAATCGGGCCCTAAACTTATACGAAATACCTCGTGTCACAGTGACGTCAACAGGTGGCGTAAATGTTCCTAACCACCCTCATTACAAATTAAAAAAAATCTATATCGATTATGCATCTTAAATATATCACTATAAAGTTCAAACTGAGCTAGAGATGTTTATCAGACCAGGGTAACTTTACCTGTGGATGTCTGTACTTACAGTTATAGGTAAAAGTTTAGAAAACTGTCACCGCTAGACCCTGTCGCCACTGGCTGTACAACATGAAACAATATTTATATTAAGATTTATGTCTATAGCAATAAAATTTAAGTTTCAATAACAAAAAATAACGATAAAATAGTGCAAGTTAAATAAAAGCTTGTAAAAATAAACCCCATACATAAAAGGCGACGACTAGCTTTTATCGCTCGCTATTTAAAATATTGTCTTTTGGTAACCCTTCGAATGCGCATTCAATTCGCATTTGGGCGATTTTATACATTAACAGCCGTTCTTAGAGACGCTAATTAACTTTTCAGTAAGATTAAAGTTATTGCTGTAACTTTTTTGCCTTTATCAGTAGAATAAGACAACACGAGACTTTAAAGAAATTAATTTTATTTGACATCTCAAGTACGGCTATAGTATGGTAAGATATTTAATAAGTTAATTATGACTATGTTAGTGTCTATTGTTGCAGGTTTTAAAAGAAAACAAGATGTTTTTGTAAAGTCAGATACTTAAAAATTAAATTTATAGCTTAAATTTAAATTTAACCACAATTCTTAAAGCAAAGGACATTGGGCAAAAATGTATGGACGTTGCCCCCACGTCCGCCACGTCGCAATCTTAATTTGTTTGAAAGGTATTATAGTCATGATTATCTGTGTGCCAAAGCGCATCAAATTCCATACCGGGGGTCCCTAGTCATTTTTTAAGTAAAATGGGTTCAAGTACTAACTTAATGAAACAAACAAAGAACAAATATTAATGAAACAAAGGAAATTAATTTTGAAACATTAATTTCATTACAAATATTAAGCATTGCCCTCACCAGGATTCGTACTGGGACTTTTAGCTCAATAAGCACCCACACTATGATTGCATTAAACGACTGTCTTTGGTAAAGGTCATAGCTCATTAGACCCACCCGGTACTCGACGAGCACTGCCTCAACTCGTGGGGTTAATATTCTTTGTATGGATTTCTATGGGGATGCGCTGATAATGATGATGCGAATATTGGGCTGGACTTGTAGACTGCAGGCACGCCAACACATTTGCTTATAGTGGCACACACTGATCGCAAATTACAAATAATTAAAAAAAAGTATATTTTTTTTCGGTGTCATAATAAGATGGGCATATCATAGATCTTTAGATTTATACTAATTACATCGTTGGCGGAGCTGGGTGTTTTTTGACCATTGTCATTTAAAAGCTAACTTATTTTCCATGAACAGATAAAAATATAATTTTTGCACAGCAATATGATCATATTGCACATTTCACTTAAAAGTCCTTTTCATTTCACTTAAAGTTCCTCTTGAATATAGATACAATATTTTTTTTTAAATAAAATAACATTATAATTTTTATTTTTTTAAGCATGTAACTGCTTGATGTTTAAATCTAAAGAAAATATGACTAGGAAAAATTCGGCGGGACTCGAACCCGCACCACCACCAGGTCAGTGCATTCGCCCGGATAGCGAAGAGTGTGGGTTCGAGTCCCGTCTGCTGCCTGGTCCGCGTGGAATTCTTTCTAGTTATATTTTCTTTAAAATAACATTGTTTAGACTCCACAATCAGTACCCTTAGCACGAATCAACGATCTCAATACGCGTCAAATATCAAGATGTTTTATATGGTAATTACAGCGCCACAACGGACGTAACGAAAATTAAAAATCTTCCATACAATAAACATCTTGAAACTTGATGCGTATCTAGATAGAATTCAACTATTCAATTTCGATATTGGTTCATGCTAAGGGTACAGTACTGATTAATCAATTTAATAAAAACCATCTGCACACTTTATCTGATAGCAACTCGCTTGTCACCGAGCGTTTTGGCAAGTTGTGCTTAGCACTTACAAATGTATAAATTAGCTAACTCCGTACTTTGTTACTCATTGGTACTGACTAGGGGCCGATGAGGATACTTTCTCTAGTTTCTCAAAGTGTTTCCTGGCGTTCCTGATGTTGATCAAAGTCGCTTCTGAAGGTATCTTCGGGTCAGACATTTCTACCATTACGTATGTGTTGCTTGTGAAGCCATCTATGAAGGCTGCGAATACGCTATTGCGTACCTGTAACAAGGATTTACTTGTTCTCAAACTTAAGAGTTTATTTTAAAGACGAGCGGATGTCTGTTTCTGTTACACCTATTGTTTCTATGACTACCCTCAAAAGTATTAGGTCCCTAATTTTATGATGATTAGAGGTATTTTATATTTCGGTTAACTAAATGAGGTTTATATTGGCAAATTATTTCTATGCACGGGTCATAGGGTGGGTGACCAAAAATTATTATCACGAACTTGTCCCTGCTTCAGAAGACACGTCCCAGCTTTTCTGTAGATGTTAGATGACTTTATTATTTATTTATCTGGGATTAAAACAGCCATCAATTAAGAATTACATTTTTGGTATTATGATTACTTGAGGATAATACCCACTAATACTTACTGAAAGTAACAGTACCCTTCGCACGAACCAAAATCGAATTCGTGTCGTTTGCGAGTCCCAAATGTCATTGTCAAATCTGTACTGATTTTAAGTTCTTGTTACGTACTTTGGTGCCGCTGCTGTTCAAGTTTACATACAAAACTATTGGAATCCGATTATGTTTCGTGCTAGGGTACAGTTTGGTACCACAAATATCCAAAACAAGTAATGAGAAAATATAATAAGACATGTAAAGACCAATAAAAGTAACTAACATTTGTTAATTTACGATGAACTAGTTAACATTTTGATATTAATGATAATTAAAATTTTAAGTTTAGGTTATAAAACATTTGTATACTATTCCTGTTTAAATTAATTGTATCATGTTTATAGTAAATGTAAACAATTTACCAAAGGTGATGTTATGAAGCATTTGCTTAGTTTGGACTCATTATTAATCATATACCAACATTAGGTATAGCAACCTCAAACAATTGATAGGGAATCATGTAGTGAATCATGTATCATTCGGTGTAATGTGTAACCATTTAGAATATCTCTTCAACAAATGTCATTGAATTAATTATATTGTCGGTAGTTCCCAATAGATAGATTGTAAATGATTGGTTCAATGACTAATTTCTAAAACATAGCTCCATTGAGTTTAATTTACAATATCAACTGTTATCTTACTAATAAAAACAAATGAGATAATGTTCATGTGTGAGATATGTGTTTCTCGGCTTTTTCATTTTGCACTTTAATTTTATTTGAAACTAGTTGGTCTAAGGGACTTCATCTGGCTAGATTATTAGATTCCCCATAGAAACTTTGGTCCCTTGTGCTCTTCACAATTAAATCTATCATCAAAATTGTTAGCTACTTTAAGCACTTAAATAATGTATTAGGATCCTTGTACGAACAGTTAAGGAAGCCAGATCATTCATTTAATTCCCTGTTAATTATAAGTGGGATTATGCTATGCTGTTTTATAAAAAATTACAATATTTAAGTTGTTTCACTAGGTGATAAAATCCCTGATAGATAATTTTCTAAAGAGCATTTGCAATAGCGCAAAAGGAAAAAATTGGTGAATACTTATAATACGTTACCTCCATACTCTGGAACTGCGCAGCAAGTTTGGAGCAGGAAAGTTTAAACTGCTTGACTATGTTGGAGACTTTCTCGAAGCGATGCGCGTCACGGTGCGGCCTCCGCTGGCAGTGTGATACCACGAGGAAAGTCGCGCGCTCGAACAATAACACCTGACGCAACATTATTTTTGATCAGTATCACAAATTTGCAAAAAGAGGTGTGTAATTTTCATTTAGGTACTTTTTGATTACAGCCCATCAATTAAACGCAAATAATTGAAAGTAACTTGTTTATACATTTAAGGAAATAAAATTTAAAATCATATTTCTATTTTAAAAGGCTGTTTATTCAGAGGTGTCTAGGGTAAAAGCTTAATTTCAGCCAGATGTTAATCGGGCAATAGGTTAAACCAAATAATTACATAACAGAAAATATAAAATAAAACATTTTAAATTACAATATGAAGCATTCAGAAGTAGTTGTGAAAATTATGATTGGTAAACCAAATGAGATAAATGTTTACTTAGTTTTCAATACCAACCTCATCTGCATCTACAATCGCTGCAAACTGTTTAAGAGATGATTCTAGTGCCTTAACATTAGGTATCAATTTATACACTATACTGGACCATGCCCTGAAATTAAGAATTGCAAGAGTTGATTAAAATAATCACGCTAATATTATAAAGGCGAAAGTTTGTCAGTGTGTGTTTGTTACTTTTTCACGTCTATACGGCTGGAGGGATTTTAGTAAAATTTGGTATGGAGCAAACTGTTTTAGAGATGATTCTAGTGCCATAACATTAGGTATTAATTTATACACTATACTGGACCATGGCCTGAAATTAAGAATTGCAAGAGTTGCTTAAAATAATTACACTAATATTATACAGGCGAAAGTTTTTGAGTGTGTGTGTATGTTTGTTACTCCTTCATGTCTAAATGGCTGGAGCAATTTTAATAAAATTTGGTATGGAGTTTGCTGACACCCTGGATTAACACATAGGCTATGTTTTACAGCGGAAAAAATCACTAATAAAATGCGTATAACACTGCGGGGCACAACTAGTAATAACTAGTCACTTAATTAATATTTATTAAGTATATAATGTTGAACCTTTTTTTTTATTTTAAATCAATCAAAATTTATGCAGACAATTTATTTCCTAATCAAAAAGAAATGGATGACATAAAATAAAAAAGAACATGTATGATAAATCAACACAACTCTTAATTTACTCTATTAAGTATTATATTACAAATAAGTTTCATCCAGGTTTTAAAAAGTCAGCCCTAAACAATTTTTTTGTCATAATTAACAGCATTGAAGAAATTTAATCCAGCAGCCAACTGTTTTGTGTATAATTCAAGAAGTCATTAATAAAGTTTTTCTAATAACTCACTTATATAAAGTTTCATCCCATATACTGGTTCTAAAGCATGTGCATTCTAGGGGTTTGGATAGCCTTTTAAGGTCTTCTTCTCTTTCTCTGAATATATCATCTCTTTGATCCTCTGATACCAAGTCCATTTTGTGTACTAAGCAAAATATTCTAGCTTCTGGAGAGTTCTATAGAAACACACATCACTTACATTAAGAAGCTAATAGGATTCCTATTTGAATAATTCACATAATTCTTACTACAAAAAAGTGTATTACTATAAATATGGATGTAATGAAAAAAGAATTATACTTTACCTGCAAAATTGCTTCTAAGCAAGACTGATAATAATGCATATCTTTCTCCATTTCTCTACTCTCAACATCAAACACATATATTAAAACTTCTACATTACGAAAGATATTATCTCTCTGGGAAGCAAAGTAGTTCTCCATAAAAGCTTCTTGACCTCCACAGTCCCATAAATTTAAAACCAAATTTCCAAGGAAACGTACATGAGAATGTTCTACATCAACTGAAACAATTGATATAATATTGGTTATTATTATCCCCAACAAGAAAGAAGAATAAATTAGTTGACAGTGTTTAAATTCTTACTTGTTGCTCCTAAGCGTCGCGTATCCCTTGCTATGTAGTTTGCAAATATTATGGATCTCATACTGGTCTTACCAGATCCACTTTTGCCCATCAACAGCACCTAATGAAAAGCAAGATTATTACTGTGAAGTAATATGACTAATTTATGTCAAAATGTATTCTGAATCATGTATCTTATAAAACTTATTAATATTTAACTAAATACGCACCTTCTTCTTCATGTTGACAAAGTTGTATTAGGTCAAGGGTTCTAAAACTTCTCAAAAAAAGTTCTCAGGTAACGTTCATTAATTTAAGATTGATCAGTTCTTGTGGTACTTGTATATTATTGACGGATAACTTTAAGTTGTTTATAAACTTATTCAGCCGTCTGAATTAATTAAATATTGGTAAAATGCAGTGGGTAGGCGTAAATGTTTCGTTTTCTACGACTGCACAGAATGACAAAAAAAAATTAAGTGATGTCATTTTTTTTCGTTTTTGTGGTAAGCACGGTGTGTGCTTTCAGCCATTGGTATCGATTCTGGCATGATTCTCTAAACCTAAACTAAAATTTGACAATGGTGCCAATTCTGGCGTGATTCTCTAAACTTAAAACTAAATTTAACATCAGTCTCTCTTTTTCATTCTGTATAGAGAATGACAAGGATATACTGCTGTCAAATTTAAGTTTAGGTTTAGAGAATCATGCTAGAATCGACACCAATAGTCAGTATTGCCGTCTTTGACATATTGGAGGCCCTGGGCATATCAGGATAATGGGGCCCCTATGACTTCCGTTTGGTGATTTAACAGGAAATAGGGACTTTGTATTTGATCTGAGGGGGCTCCCTAATGATCGCGGGGCCCTGGGCACTTGCCTAAAGTGCCCACTGGGAAAGACAGGTCTGACAACAGTGTATCCTTGTCATCATCTAGACTGAATAAAAAGGAGACATTGATGTCCATTCTGACATGATTCACTAAACTTAAAACTAAATTTAACATTGGTTTGTCCTATTCATTCTGTATAGAGAATGAGAAGGATACACTTGCTGTCGATTCTGGCATGGTTCTCTAAACCTAAACTTAAATTTGACAACAGTGCATCCTTGTCATTCTCTATACAGAATGAAAAGGAGAGACTGATGTTAAATTTAGTTTTAAGTTTAGAGAATCACACCAGAATTGATAGCACTGTTGTCAAATTTAAGTTTAGGTTTAGAGAATTATGCCAGAATTGACACCACTGATGTCAAATTTATATTTAAGTTTAGAGAATCATGCCAGAATCGACACCAATAAAGTACTACAGTGGAGGCAACTTCTATTCTATGACTTGATATCCCTAATCTGTGGTGGGCACTTGACATCATGAATCATTGCATTGACATGACTTGTCAAAAACGTGTGTTTTGTTGCTGTCAGTGTTAATCATGTTGAAATGTTTTGTATAATTATTAAACATGTGCTGTGACTGTTAATTAATACTGTAGACTCCGAGCAATAATATGGCTCGCCACCGAAATGTAAGAAATAGAAGTTATTCGGATGATTTTGATGACGACGATGTATATGGACATTCTGTGGAAGAGGACAGCTGTTTATCACCTAGTGATACTGCACAGTTTATGTACGATCGTTCTCGAAATCAGCAGGCCATATCGCATTTTTTAGAGAGCCATGACAATATTCAAGAGGAAGCCGAGGATGAGGTGGATGATTTATCGCATCCACCGCTTGAAAGACGCGAGTCCCTGGAGCTACGCAGTCTCAAACTAAGCGAAGATGATGAAACATGTCTTATGTCTTGTCTAGATGAACTGCGAAACGTTTTAGGTGACAGTTTTTCTGATAATATACTCATAAATGCTGCTCTGAACCATAAGTTTGATTATAATAAAGCTTTAGATGAAATCCTTAACAAAAACAGCAATGATAATGACAAGAAAAAAGAAGAGCCCGTAAAACAACCACCAATAGTTCGTGTTATTCCAAGTATTGATCCAGTATCATCCAATAATATACCGAAAGTAATATCTACTAACCTTGAGCCCAAAAGTGCTGGAATCATCAAAGGTTTTAAAGTGCAATGCAGTGACAGTTCTGGCAGCTTTTCACAAACACCTAGAGAACAATCACCAGCGTCTGAAAGAGCTTCTACTCCTAGAATAGAAGATGAAACAAAAACAACACTGAAAGTAAAAGAAAACAAATTTGACCCAAAGAAACAGTACATTAATGAAAGAGGATCAGATAAAGATCATATATATATTGTGGTTATAGGCCATGTTGATGCTGGAAAATCTACATTGATGGGTCGGCTGCTGTGTGACCTTGGAGAAGTCAGTCAGAAAACATTACATAAGTATGAGCAAGAGAGCAAAAAGATAGGCAAACAAAGCTTTATGTATGCATGGGTTTTAGATGAGACTGGTGAAGAGAGAGTGAGAGGCATTACAATGGATGTGGGGAAAGCTCAGTTTGAAACCAAAACTAAAAAGGTAATTATACTTGATGCTCCTGGGCATGCAGATTTTATTCCAAACATGATAACAGGGGCTGGTCAAGCTGATGTGGCTTTATTAGTGGTTGATGCTACTAGAGGGGAATTTGAGTCAGGTTTTGATCTCGGTGGCCAAACTCGTGAGCATGCATTACTAGTTAGATCCCTCGGTGTCAATCAGCTTGCAGTTGCTATAAATAAATTGGACACAACAAATTGGTCTCAGGAGAGATTTGATGAAATATCTAAAAAATTGAAAACTTTCCTTAAACAAGCTGGCTTCAAAGACTCTGATGTCACTTATGTGCCATGTTCAGGTCTCACAGGTGAGAATCTTGTGAAGCCTCCAAGCGAAGTTGAATTGCTTAAATGGTACAATGGACCTTGCCTATTAGATGTTATTGATAAATTTAATGTACCAGAGAGGCCCATCTCTAAACCTTTACGGATGCCTATAAATGATGTATTTAAAGGCACAGGTTCAGGATTTTGTGTTGCTGGACGTATTGAAAATGGTGTACTCAATAAAGGTGACAAAGTCTTAGTTTGCCCAACAAAAGAAATGGCTGAAGTAAGAAGCATTAGTATTAATGAAATGCCAAATAATGTCGCTTTTGCTGGAGACCAAGTCAGTGTTACATTATCTGGTATTGATATGCAAAATGTCTCTGTTGGATTCATTCTTAGTGATCCCATTCAACAAGTGCCAGTAGCTACAAGATTTGAAGCTAGATTAGTTGTGTTTAATGTTAAGGTTCCTATAACAAAAGGATTTCCAGTTCTGATTCATCATCAGTCTTTAGTGGAATCTGCAAATATTGTAAAGTTGAAATCATTGCTAAATAAGAGTACAGGTGAAGTTATGAAAAAGAAACCCAGATGCTTGGGTAATAATTCTGTAGCTGTTGTAGATATTGAAGTTAGTAAACCAATTTGTGTAGAGCGCTACAAAGATGTAAAGGAACTGGGGCGTGTGATGCTCCGTGTGTCAGGAGTAACTATAGCTGCTGGACTCATCACAGACATGTATAACTCATGATTGATTTATGTTGATCTGATATATCACATTGGCAAAATTATTGGGACAAATTAATGCATTTAATTTCACTGTATTTTTTTATAAAGTAAAACAGATATTTTTTTCACATATTTCTTAACCAATATAGTTCAGTTATTATATAAGCATAATGCTATAGGGTACTACATAAAATTTGCGCTTTCATTAGGTTTATTACTGTTCTGTCTTGACATTTGTTGCAGTGTTAAAATATGAAAGGCAAATAAGTAGAATAGAAATGTTGCCTTGTTTAGTTGCTAAGGCATTAAATCCGCACAATGCTATAATGTACAATAATGTAACGTGCTGTAACAAATTGTTATAATTATTGATGATTATTTATTTTATTAAAATAACGAAAAATGTTCACTCTTAATTTTTTGTATTATTTCATCCATTTTTTTAGGAGCATAGTTTCGCATTTCGCACGCATTCCGGTTTTTTTCACTCCCAGTCTTGTGAGAGATTAGTTTGGTTGTTACTTTAATAATCATAATAAACCTTAAGAAAATACGAAAAATAATCATTACCGTTTATAATAGTTGATACTCTATTGTTTCTTACTGCAGTTTTAACCTAAGTATTTTTGGTCGGTATGATTTATTTTTCAGCGAAACTTACAACTACCATACCAGGAATATTTTACTGATAATAGTATATCAGCAACTGGAAAATAGTATCCCTAAAATTCATAAAATTATGTAAGAACCGGGTAGTTACACTTGCTTAATTTACTTAAATACTACATATTTTTAATTTGATAATTCCGTCGTATTTATATCGAAATTTTGTAGGTACATAGTTTCATAGATAAACATATAACACTTAGAAATATAGCTACATAAGTACTTACTAGGTTCAAAGCTTCCTTCACTAAGATCAACCGATTCAATTTAGTTAAGTAGTGTGCCGACGACAGCTCGTTACCCTCGTCGCGGTTACTACAAACTACTCTAAAGTTATGGTATCCTATAATAGTGTGCAGTAGGATTTTTTAAAGGCTTAGTATATTTCTCCACTCTGATGTTAGGCTGCAGCCCCGAATCTATACTAATATTAAAAAGAGGAAAGATTTGATTGTTTGTATGGAATAGGCTCGGAAACTACTGGACCGATTAGAAAAAATATTTCACGTTTCGAATCCTTTTTTTTTATAACGCAGGTAAAAAATGCTGTTTACAGACGACGACGGCGCCTTTAAGAGGCACATCGAACCGAACGGACCTCACACCTGGCTCCCGCAAGTCTTACGAACCCCCCAGTGGCTGCCCACCGAGGACCCCGCAACTCTTACGGGCGCTTTACGGCATAATATCCGCTAAAAAAGTCCTGCGAATACCCTCTAAGCTGATTAGCGCGAAGCCGCGGGGTCCCCGTTTAGGGATTCTTCCTCGTCTCCGCACCTCTAGCAGCCTAGCCGGGGCTCCACGGCAGCGGTCTCCCGGGGTATCACGGGGATCCCGCAGACGTGCGCAGGTACCTAGGCCCGCGCGTGGGGGCTGAGTACGCGGCCTAGTGCCAACCGTACCGCCCCCCGTCCGCTGACGTTTAGAATCCTGCATTATCCCTGATCGACATAGGCTATAGAGTACTTTCAAAAAAGTTAGGGTTCCGTATGAAAACTAAGACAATGTAACCCAACGTGAAAAAAAAAATGACAAACTATTACCTACGCTGCGGAAGTCATAGATAATAGAGCAAAGTGAAGTAGGTACTAAAGTTTTATAGAGGACATTGGTGCCGATTCTAGCGTGATTCTCTAAACTTATAACTAAATTTAACATCAGTCTCTCCTTTTCATTCTGTATAGAGAATGACAAGGATGCACTGTTGTCAAATTTAAGTTTAGCTTTAGAGATCGACATCATTAACATCTTAAAACAAGTGCGTGATATTCGAAATCAGATACAGTATTTTCTGAGATAAGCGCGTTTAACCAAAAAAACAAATTCTCCAGTTTTATAATATTAGTAAGAAATTATATCTAATTTTCACGGTAGGTTTATAATTATATGTAGAAAATCATAAATCAAACCGGAAAACAAAAACTATAGACTATACTACAGCTCTACACCGAAGCGAAGCGAACTAGTCACACTAATATTATAAAGGCGTAAGTTTGTGAGTGTGTATGTTTGTTACTTCTTCACGTCTAAACGGCTGGAGCGATTTTAATAAAATTTGGTATGGAGTTAGCTGACACCCTGGATTAACACATAGGCTACGTTTTACTGCGGGAAAACATCCATAATAAATCGCGGGTAACACCGCGGTGTACAGCTAGTCTATTTCATCATCATCATCATCATCATCAGCCTATTAATGTCCCCACTACTGGGGCACAGGCCTTCCCTACGGATGAAATAGGGAGATTAGGCCATGACCCACCACGCGGGCCCAGTGCGGATTGGTGGGTGCTAACGACTGCAGATGCAGCCGGGACCAACGGCTTAACGTGCCTTCCGAAACACGGAGGAGCTCGAGATAGTAATTTTTGGTCACCCATCCAATGACCGACCACTGCGAAAGTTGCTGCACTTGGGCCATCGAGCTCCTCCATCGAGTCTATTTATAAAGCTGAAACTAGTTGACATTGGTGTCGATTCTGGCAGGATTCTCTAAACTTAAAACTAAATTTAACATCAGTCTGTCCTTTTCATTCTGTATAGAGAAGGACAAGGATGCACTGCTGTCAAATTTAAGTTTAGCTTTAGAGACCCATGCCAGAATCGACACCATTGTAGCAGACACCTGTAGCGGAACCGTCACAAAACGTATTTCTGGCCACTGTTTTGGCTTTTCTTATTTATTTAAAAGTAAAGGAAAGTAATCAAGTTGTTTTCACGACCTAACTAAGTATCTAATGCTTTTTTCGAGTAGGTGAAGAGGTGAAAGAACATGGAACAAAACGTACCCACCATGTAGCACATTAAAATTGATACCATTAGAAAGGTCTTCGAAAGTGTATTAATTTATTGTATGGGAGCAACTTAGTAGCTCGCAGGAGATAAAAGATATTCGTCGTTGAAAATGCCGAAAATTCTTAATAAAATCTATCTACGCATATTCAAAGTTTTTGAGATTTCATCCTTTAAGTACTTCGAACTATATTGTGCGCTTGGGTCGGTGTGTCGTAAATAGTAATTATCTTTCAGTATGCAACCGTTGCCGTCGGTCGACCTCAATTGATAAGTGAGTGACGCTACCGTTATCATCCACCAATCCACACTGGATCCGTTATCAACCACCAATCCGCGCTGGGTCCGTTATCATCCACCAATCCGCACTAGGACAGTTATCACCCACCAATCCGCGCTGGGTCCGTTATCAAGCACTAGATTCATGTACTTTGTGATGGGTATTGTTTATTGTTTACATATGAAACTAAGTCGTAAGGCAAAAATCGTAACATATTCGCCAGTTTACCCCCCAAGTCAAGCGTGCCTAAAGAAGTTTCATTTCAAAAAGTGAAATTGTTATGACACTTGGCTTTTAAAAATGTAATGAAGGATTAGTCATATCTTCGGCCCGCCATTCATTCGTTCATTAATTTTTGAGCCAAGTTAATTAAGCGTTTTTTAAATGACACCTAGGTCACCTAGTCTATAATGCGGTACGGGTATATAGATGGGTACGGGTTCCATACAAAATTACCCATTGTTCTTTGAGAAAAAAGACGATTTAAGCGTTTTTTCACGTGAAAACTTATGCTCTTACCTTTGAAATTAATTTATTGCCACTTTTGGTTTTCTTATTTATTTAAAAGTAAACGAAAATAATCAAGTTCTTACGAGGTATAACATAATAACTAACGCTATTTGTGGAAAAGTTCGTTTTTTAAATGTGATGATGTGAAAACATAGGTACCCTCGTGAAAATAGTTATTTATTATACAAGAGTGGAAAGTTCCTTTTAAACCGCGTGCTCGATTTGGATGACCGAGCAAGCGAAGGATTCTAAAGTTGAATCACGAGCGCAGCGAGTGATTCTAAATTAGAATCCTGAGCGTCAGCGAGGGAAACAAACGAGCACAAGGTGAAAAATCTTTCCACTCGAGTGCAATACGTAACTTTTCATCCCACCTCAGCGAGGAAATGACAAAATGAAAAAGAAAACAATTTATAATGACAAAATATTTAAGCAATAAAACGTGAAAAACTAGAATGGCGCGAAGCACGCAAATAAAACAAAGAAACCAAGAAGGTTCCAAATTTAAATTTTTTCACAATTTAAAAAGTTCTAATCATAAATTTGGCACCATAGAGGTTACATTAAATAGGTTTAATGACGTTTTGAATTTACAATTATATTGAGTACTCATTATATGTGATGTTCTAAATTCAAATCTACTTTGCCGCTCAAGCGAATAAAATAGAATTTTCCAGCCAGATTTCGAAGCGCAAAATTACACTTTCCGAGGTGGTGGGATGAAAAAAATATTACTTTCCTTTTCTTTTAAATAAATAAAAAAAACCAAAACAGTTACCAGAAATACGTTTTGTGACTGCCCGCTGCTGAGTGTGTTTGTTACAATGTTTGCTAGTTCAGCTTTTTAATCTATTTCCCAAAGTATGGAAATGTTTCTGTACTCTGCGTTAGATATCCTGCACTTATATTTAACAGATACTGTGTATCACTATACTTTTAACAGTTAAAATGTGCATGTTAGCTTGAGGTTGGCTCTCGATAGGCCGCTATGTGACGATTTTACAATATAAAATCGCTCTTATCTCCCAATTTTTGGCTTTCAAACGAGCTGTGTGGTAGTGGTTATGTAATTGAATTTCCTGACTCGTTTCCCAAAAGACTCCACTCAGTGTTTTCATTGTGATTTATTTTTCCCCAACCTTACATTTTTCGACTTCCTCCCATCGATTGCCATTAACCTACATAATGTTTTTTTCCACCATCAATATACTATTGAAAAGGGGCGATAATGAATCTCTCGAGTTTCCAAATTCAAAGGGACGAAAATTCATTACTCTAATGCTTCTGTGGATTGTAAAATGACTGTTAATTAAAAGTTGAAGGCTTAAAGTGTTTTGGAAGTTGTTTATAACTCAACAGAAGCAAATTGTTCATAGCAGCCCGCCGCCTGCCGCTAATGATGGTGCCAGCTAAGTTATGTAATGCTTTGCAGAGGATTTTGAGAAGAAAAAGTAATACAGGCATAGTATTTACTTTTAATATCTGAAATTAAATGAAATTATACTTTATTCAAATTGACTTAGAGAAAGCTGTTTTGTATCATCCAATATTTTCCCTATTACCCATTCAGGACATCTTTTAGCTGGCAAGAAGAATGGGCGAAAAAAAAAATCAGCATTAACAGAACTAGCAACATTTATATAATATCAATACAATGAACCAGATACATTAATCATGTCTTACATAGTGACTTGTGAATATAATAATAATACTTTGCTTACTTC